GGTATACCCCACCTATTAAATTTAATATAAACTTGAGAATCGAATACAGAATCGAAGAGAATTGTTAGGATCCTTAAGCAAACATCGTTATTTGGAGCAATCCCAATAAGTGTTGGGTATAATTGACAATCGATACATTATAGCATAGTCCTAGATAGTAATGTCGAAAGATACAGTATATGTAAACATCATTATTAAGAATAAATACTTAGCCAGACAATTATCGCTGGTGCACTTTAAAAAAAAATATATATATATATATATAATTATTATTTTTTAAATAATATTTTTAAATTTATATATTTAAATGTTTCGCAAGACTAGTTTGGACGGCGATTTTCACAAATTACGCGAATTTCGCGTATGTGACGATCTATAATAAATATAACAGATAATCAATGAATTACGCATTTTTACACTGTAAAAATGTCATATGGAGAACAGCCACCCTGTCACTTATTTTCGGTAAAAAATCTCTGCTTTCACACCCAAGAAATCGATTTCAAAAAATATTCCAAAATTTTTTTTCCTCGCTTCTCCACGCTCTGATGGCATCACAAAGTATACCTACGCCTGTATGTGACCTGGCCAATTATTTTATTGATATTGGACTCCTGCAGCCGATGTTTGGAAGGTAGTACTTGCAACGCCTACTAGGACTCATTACAGCTGTAATCCCCTTAGATAGATTCGTTGCAAGGGACTCTTTCCAGTATATTAGACTTAATGAGTTTCCTATGCCCGTATGTGACCTGGCCATTATATTGGACTCCTGCGGCCAATGTTTGGAAGGAGAACTTGCAACGCCTACTAGGACTCATTACAATTGTAATCCCCTTAGATAGATTCGTTGCAAGGGACTCTTTCCAGAAACTCATTTTTGTCAACGCCATTATCAGAGTTATCTTATAGTTAATGCTTACAATATCATATTTCTTAGTGACTAAATTATCCTAACTTTTTTTTATAGATAGATATTTCAAGCGGGATTTCTTCCTATTTCAGTAACACAGAGATTGAAGCCTGGGGTTATATGGATTGTCTTGAATATTTAGCAAAAGTATGTGCGCATTTGACATCAGGAGATCGTGACGAAATTCTTGAAAAATACAAGAACCATTTGCTTTTAATAATCTCGTCGACATCATCGCTTAAAAGAGCAAAAGACAAAGCCCATAAGCTGAATGATACTGCGGAACGTTCATTTCAACGCGTAGAAGTTACCACATTTTTTGAAAGAATTGATACACAGGCACGTTAATTAATCATATTAAACTTGTGTGTATGTATACATATATAGATCAACTAGACCAACTTATATGATAGGTTTTTACGAATGCAACCGAAGATCTTGTAAATGCCACCGAAAATCTCGTGAACGCGAAAGAAAATTTATATGAATCGAAACTAAAGGCACGTGCGTATGACAGATATATAGAAAATACGAATGAAGATGATCGTTCATCTAAACGCCTTAGACAAAAGGCAACAATTTTAGAAGAGGACAAAAAACAAGTATAGTATCTTTTGTTATTTCTTTTGATAAAATATTTTTATTTGATAGTAAGCGTTTAAGCTATTCTCTTTCTAGCCTGACGTAAATGCAATACCCAAAGCAAATGATGATAATTTTGATGGTACGTTAAAATAATATAATTTATAAACTTTATGGTTCCTTTATAAATAATTATATCAATTAAAGAGCGAAAGGATGACAATGAAGATAAAGATTTAGAAAGAGTCGAAGAAGAATCATATTCATCCAACTATGTTATGGATATCTTTTCTGAGTCTTGTTCTCGGCAACAAACATCAAGTGATTCGTTCTTATTACCTCTTTTAGAGAATTATTGTGCTAAAGAAATAACTTCACTTTACAAGTAACTGTTGTAGTAATTGGTTAATGATATTTTAACTACCGCTCACTTTCCATTTATTTTTTTTAGCCCAGCACACAGTTTTATTATAGATCTGTCTCCGCTTTCAAAAATAAAAAATGAATTTAATGATAAGCAGTGGGCTGAGTTAGTCGGAAGAAGACCTGATGCAGTCCGGAAGACTTACCATCACGAGATCGAGCCTATTATCACCCACTTGTTTGGACAAAAAGTAAGAATTTTCGAGTTAGAAAGTAAATATGGTCTTATCGTTGATTTTTTTCCTTATTTTAGACAGATCTATCACAAGCTCGTAAAAGATGGTACGAACTTAGAAATTTGGCTGCTCCTATATATGACGATAGTTTCTCATATGCAGAGGTTGATTGGGAAAAAATAAAGCGTTGGGTAGAACGAGTAACGGGACAATTGTAAGTTGTTGAACTCATTATTTATCACACAATATGACAAAATTTTTGTTATGTAATCATTTTTTTTATTTGTCTTATCATTATAGTCTAGACGCATTTGAGTCCCTTCGAAATCCGCTACAAAATGACTGTAATGAACGAGAGTGGACTGGCGACTATATCATTCCTTTAATACAAGGAGCTCTGAAATTAGATGGAAATTTTTATGTCCCATGGTAAGTTGCGAATCTCTTCATTTACTATACATATACAGTACATGTGCATAACATGATTTTCCCTTGTTTCGAATTTTGTTAAGGGGAGAGATTTCTGTCCTTGCAACCCAACGCCGTCGAAATAATGACAAGGATATACTTACTGAACAAGTTGAGCGAAGTCATCAGGTGGATCTCTTATGTAATTATGAGCAATACGAGGTTGCTTGCGCGCTTGCTTGCGGTGGACCATATACCTACGATCTAACCAAACTCGCCTCAGATGACTTTAACCTTCCAAGAATTATGAAGGACATGCTCGATGACTTAGAATTAAAGCTCCTGTGTGCCGGAAAGGACGGATTGCATCCATATATTCTTGGGATCCAGGTGCGATAATTACTCATACGTGGATATATGTAATGAGAAGTAGTACTTACATGCTTCGTTTATATTTGCTCAGACATATATGACAGAGGTTCGAATCTACCTGATGGAGAAACGTGAGGTATATTTCCTCCATCATCTAAAATCATTTAATCTTCCGCTTACATTCTCAGCTTACCACTATCTGAAATCTGCTTTAAGAGTGGCATGGAACATTCGGGTGAGTCTTGATTTTTTATACCAGAATAATGTCACTGGAAATATCTGACTATCATTTCATTAATAATTACAGGGCTTGATTAAATCCTTGGTTCGGGAATTCGATACTGTTGATGATGATGGGTTTAAAACTCCCCCCGTAACACCGTCAGATAATATGAAGACTCAGCAAACGCCACAAAAACAACCAAAGAAAAAGAAAGTAAAAGATTAGAGAACTGATTAGTTTTATTAGTGAGTGCAAGTATTGAGCGGTCGTTGTACTTAATATAGTAAATATAATTTACTTGGATAATGGTGGTACATTGTTATACACGTGGTGTATCGGATAAATAAATTTCAATACAAATTGGCATTACAAAAAAGTTCATTCGAATTTTTAAATCCTTAGACTTTTTAATACTAAAAAAGTTTCGTTAGCGCAATATGCAATTGATCATAAGCATTTTTAAAGTTTCGAGTTCATTTAATGAAACCCAATTTTCGAAGATGCCCTGGAATAAACATATACAGATCTTCATAATACCAAACATACCTCAAGGCAATCTGATTCTCTTCGCATAATTCTTTCTTGAGTTGATCCCGCACTTGCTGTTTGATAAAATTATTAGGATCGCCTCTATGAAAGAATTCTATATATCTTTCGTGTTGTTCTCCTTGTACTTTGGTTGCAAATCCATATTGTGGGTAATAAATGTCAAGTTCTAATCCAGTTGGGTGATCCAAAATTTTAAGAAAATCGGGTCAACGTATCTTAGATGGCGGTCCAAGATATTTTGACATAATCTCTCGACACAGTCTTTCACGTTTATATTTAGAGCAATATGGACACCATGTATTATAATTTTTTACACGAGAAAGAGTAGCATACCATTGATGGTTTTTATTACATCTCCAGAGTAACTGACTTTTGCTATTAATATAGGAATCTGACAAACATTCTCCACCTTGACTATATGCAATAGATTTAGCCATCGAAATATCAAATTTTGTACTAGTTTTTGATGTTATTTGGAACATTTCCAGCGCAAATGCGTTGTATAATGATGTAAACATCAGATAAACACTCTCCATTCTTGCTATGTGCTAATTCTTTTGCCAAGTTTCTCAGAGTCACGTACACAATGTGGGCACCAAGTCCCTCTTTAAATACTGTACTATCAATCCGAGCAAACCATGAATCTCCTTCAGAACATCTCCAAGAGAGTGGAGTACGTCTGTAAGAACTAGAATTACACATTCTTCCTCTTTTATTTGCGAGATTCTGAGCGAATTCAAGTCCAAGTTTCATGCACTCACGATACTAACTTCCTTTATTTTAACATCTGAAAGAGATATGCGAAATTGAGAGGTGAGCTATTATTAACATAAGTCTCGGAAATACACCTTCCATTTTTAGCATGCGCTAATTCTTTGACCATTAAAATATTGAATTTTCTGTTTGGGCAATAAGGACACCATGAATGCAATTTCGATAGATCGAAATGAACAATTCCATTGATGGTTTTTATTACATTCCCAAAGCATTGGAATTTCATAATTGATATATTCTTTGGAATACATTTTCCTCCACGAGATTTTGCTATCTTTATTTTGACAAACAAAAAAAATATGTTTCTTGAATAAGTATCCTACTTTTCAAATACTATGGAGTATTACGAATTACGCAAATTGTACCTTCAAAAAAAACATAATCCATTCGTTCCTAAGCATCCATTTAGATTACTAATTGCGGGTACCTCTGAGTCCGGAAAGACGAGCATGGTAGTAAATCTGCTCGTAGGAAGCAAATATCCAAAAATATATCCGTGGATGTCTGGTGAAAAGCATGGTCATAGAATACCAAAAGGCGGGAGCAAAAATTTTGGTGAAAGGTATATTCTGTGATGATCTAATTGTTGTTGCGCGACACTAGGATGAAGAGTTATAGGAAGCAGCACAATGTTTTTATGAATTTATAGCCATGGATAAGCAAGCTCCATGGTATGATTCAACCTGATTACACTTGAAGAACTACCTGATATTTCATCTTTCAAAAGAACTGGTCGATTTACTATTATAATTTTGATCTTGCCGGTGAGCCTTTGGCAACTCAGCTAAAAATTATACCTTTCTTTAGTTCAGTAGACATGAAGGAACCAGTACAATTTACAGTGCCCAGCGTTTTTATTACTCATCCTATTTAATATTTTTTGAAATATTTTATCTGAAAAAAAATATATCATCGTGATTATGGTTAGACAGCGTATAAATTGTAATGCGCCTTTATTTCACCAGCTGATTACGATTTTATTATGCAACGTGAAAATGAAAGGCCAAGGGGAAAAGGTATTAGAGGAATTAAGCACAAATATAACACATCAATGAAATGCATATATCAGATTTGGAGAAGCGAAGAGGCTAATAGAATTGCCTGGAATCAAATTGATATTTCTAATGCGAAGTCAAGTCCCGAAGTTCCTATAGAAACCACCCCCTTTGTGAGGGTCTTGAGAGAGACCTGTTATTTCCTCTCCACCTGCCTTACCACTGAAGAAAAATAGTCAAAAAAAGAAAACAGGTAAGACAAATGGAATCTCTATTGAGACGGAGTCAGAGGTGTCTTTACAGCATAGTGCTAATACCACTGACAATATTGTTCTAATAAATGAAGAATCACTTAAAATTATTATTATTATTATTATTTTAAAGGAGCAAATGGCTACCATGCTTTATTTTTTATTATAATTTTAGACTTGTCATATACTGTATCTAAATTAAATGCAAGATTTGCTACTGCAACCCATCCCTTTACTCCTTGGCATTACCAAAGATTATATAGAAAAGATATATTCAAAACCTATATTGTGCCTTGAGTAGTGTCTAACTATCTAGATATAACTGTTTTTATATTTAACAATACTATACAAATTTATAAAAAACTTTAAAAAATTTTTAATATAGTATTAATTGAAGTCTTATTATATTATATTAATTAAATTAAATTCTTATTTTAATACTTTATATTATATTATCAAAACTATTCTAAATGTTGAATATGAAATTACAACAGTTCTACCTTAAATCTTTTTTAAAAAAACAATCTTTAGATAAGAACAATATCATCACACAAGCTAATATCTCCACTACTATAAAACAACTGAATATTAATAGAAAATCACATGACACAAGAATGGTACAACAAGAACAAAGTAAATTTAAAGAAACATAACCTTTTCTATCTTGAACAACTAACAAAGACTACCAATACACACTTTATCTCATGGACATATCTCAAAGCAAGAGCTGAAACAAAACATATAGGTTACAAATCTAACTAATTTGAAGAAATTATTACATAACAATAGAATGAAGATATTCATTTTTTCAAATTACTTATTAATATATTTATTATATATAATCTAACAAATCAAAAAACATCAAAAAACATAAATATATTTATACAATCATTAATTAAAGTATCTATATAAACAAGATAAACAAATAAGTTAAAGTCCTAAATAATATATTTAAAATTTAATACTTTATATAAATAACTAATGACTTTTTAATTGAAAAATACAAGAGTTGTAACCTAAATACAAAAGAAAAAACAAACACATGCATTAAAAAAATACAACTGAAAAAAACAATAATATTACTAGTTAAAATAATAAAGAAAAGCTCAAAACCCTATAATCAAATTATTAGAAACCTTCTATAAGTACAAACTTTATTCAACTCAATTAGACAAATATACAATTAAAACAGCTTAATATCAAAAAAGAGAAATAAGATCCAAGTAAAAATTGACAATACTAACAACAAATTAATAACAAATATATTAAATTTAAAGATACTAGAACTATAGAATCAAACCAGATAGGAACTGAAACAAATTTAAGAGAAAATTCAGAAATAAAAATATACAAAAATATATGAATAATTATTTTCAAAAATGAATCAGAAATTTTCTGGCATAATCCTAAAATATATACTATATATGTATTGTTTAAAAGTTGAATTCGAAAAAATCATATCTAGCATTTTTGTTACTTTAAAAAATAATTACCCATATACAGATGGATTCATGAAAAATATAACAATAACCATGTAAAAATGGAAATAGGAGTATAATCATAAACACAAAAACATTGAAAGAAGTAAAATTCAAAAGAAAATGTAAAGGATTCTTATTATTTATAAGAGCAAAACTAATAGCAATTTTAATAGCAATAATGTTTATTAATTCCAAGATAGAAACAATTATAATAATAGATAGCCAAAGTACAATTTATACAATATAATTAAAAATTACACAGAAACAAAAAATAGCAAAAGAAACAAATATACTCATAACAATTTTTATTTGAAAAAAAAATAAAGAAAGAATAGTAGCTACTAGATTTTAGAAAATCAAAACATATATAGAAGACAAGTATAACAAGTGTGCAGATAAATTAGCAAAAAAAGATAGGAAGTTTGATTACACATATATTATAAACACAACCTATTAATATATAAGAAAAATGGCAAATACATTACATTGAAATAGTAAAAATCTAGATATAGGAATTAATAGTTTTATGAAATAGTAGCAAAATAGCAAATAAATCAGTATATGGGTTATATAAAGGAAACAAAAAGCATGACTTAAAACAAAAGATTAAAAAATAATAGATTGAAAAAGAATATAAGCAAACTTCTTACTATCAAAAATCACAAGTTTCCATACTAATTAATAAAACCATAATAACTTAATATTCAGATACAAACTGTTTAATAAAGAGTTTCTTATTAAAGACAAACTTAATAAGAAAAGACTTGATATATGTATATAAAGTCAAAATATACTGTATCTCTAAAGTAAAAAATAGAAGACTATAGAACACATTTTTAGCAAACATTACAAAAACAAAATCAGAATCAAATATATATAAGTATCAAAGAAAAAAATATTTAGTAGAATGAAAAAATAGAAAAAAATAGAAAAAAATATTCAACTAAAAAAACCAACTTAAGTATATTATTAATAATTCAAAAAAAACAATCAAATATATAATCAAAGACATTTATGAAAAGGATCCAACTAATCTAATAAGATATATAAATAGTACAAAAATTAAAGATATATTAAGAATAGTTATAAACTAAATAACAGAAAAATTTTAAAAACTCTAAAACTATAGATGCACAAGATTCCAACAATAAAAAGAAAAAAAATATATAAATAGAAAGAAAAAAGAAAAAAAAAGAAAAAAACAATAGGCTAATACTAGAACTTTTAATAATACTACTTTAATATTACTTTAATATCAGTTCAATACTTACATTTACTATAAATTTATATAAGTAGGTTACAATTTATATATTAAATTTACTATAAATCAGTACTATTTTGATACTAGTTTAATACTAGTTTGGTATTTTTCAGAATCCTGGCTAACACTCAACTTAAGAACACAGTACAATATGAATTTCCAATAAAAAGAATGGAAAAAGCAAGAAGACTATAATAAAAACTTATAAGGAATTAATTAAATTAGAAAAATAATATGATTACTTTTATTTTATTTTATTTTTTTTTTTTTGTAGGTAAACATCATTTCTTTATTTGATTTGTATATATCAAGGTATACATCGTGAAAGAAACAA